TGGACTACCCCCGGGCCAGGCTGGCCCTTTGGTGAGCGACCCGGGTGTGGGGACCCTCTGGGCATGCGCCCCCCCCCCGGCCTGGCAAGTGACCCTATCCATCGCTCCTCTCCCCGACGCATCCCCACAGGGCCCTACCTGCCAGACAGGCCCTCGGCTGCCCCAGGCCTAGGACAGGACCCCTGTCCCCTGGGGGTGGGGCTGAGCCCACAGATCCACGCGGGGACCCCCACCCCCTCCAGGCCCTCTACAGCTCCTCTTGGGCCTCCCTGAGGGCCAGGGGGCCCCCGACCTTCTTGCCCCAGCCCTCATCCCAGGCGGAACCCAGGGGACTGTAGTGTGGAGCAGACTGGACGCCCTGGGGTCCTCTGGGGCCCCGCGTGGCAGGGACACCAGACTGGAATTTCCGGGGAGCAGGTGGAGGCTCTGCCTGCTGCCCTCCCACTGAGCTGGTACCACATCCCCTCCCCGCCTTGACCCTAGTGTCCCCATGGGCGCTAGAATCACAGGCCACAGCCCCAGGCCAGTGCAGGGAGGAGCCAAGCTGAGGCCCGGGTGAACTGAGCGAAATGAGACCGTCCTCACCGCACCAAGGGTGGGCTGGGGAGGCGCCCACAATCACCACAGCTTTTGGGTTTGTGAGTCCCACCCCATAGGCTTGACACGTAGTCAGTCATTGTTCACGGCTGCTGAACTGACTTAAAGGGGCAGCATCTCCCAAAACCTGGGCTGTTGGCTGGGCCTCCCTCCTCCCAACGGGGCCCTCCCCAGGCCTGGGAAGCTGTGCTCCAGCCCTCTCTGGGGCTCAGTGCATGGTTTGGTCCTGATGCAGTGTGGGCAGGGAGGAAAGCAGCAGTGCTTTTTGTCCAGTCCTGATCCAGAGAGGGAAAGGGTCCCACAGCAAGGAGGAGAAGTAACCAGCCAATGTGACAGGCATTAAAAGGCACTCTGATCCGGGCTGTGGCGGGCAGGATGGCTTCCATGCTCCCAGTCAGAGGGAGAGGGATGCTCTTGTAGGGTGAGGATCAGGACCTGGCCGCACCATGCCTCCCCTCTGCTGGTCTGGAAGGACAACCTTGAGGTGTTGGAGCGTGGGTGCAGGCTGCCTTGGGGTGCAGGCAAGACTTTCTCCTCCCGCCTTCCCAGGTGCGCCACAGACCACAACGTAGACAACACCACGGCCATGCTGCAGGAGTGGCTGGCGGCTGTGGGGCGCCACTATGCAGCAGTGATCTGGAGGCCTGAGGGGGAGCCCAGGTGTGACTGAGGGGAAGGTGGGGGACAGCTGCCACCCTAAGGTGACAAGGGCCGGCCCAGAGCCACGGCCTCCAGGGCAGGACCCAGGATGCACCTGCCCCAGGGCACAGCTCATTTCTGTGCTCCCTCAGGTCCTACCCAGATGAGGAGGGTCCCAAGCACTGGACCAGAGAAAGGCACCAGTTCCTGATGGAGTTGAAGCAGGAAGCCCTGACCTTTGCCAGGGACTGGGGTGCCGACTACATCCTGGTAAGGAAGCCTGGCGGAGGATTGGGTGCACACCTGTGGTCTCCGCACTCTGAAGACTGAAGCAGGATTACTGCAAGTTCAAGGCCAGCCTGGGCTAGTGCGACCCTGATAGAAATCCCGGTGCAGGGCCAGATCAGATGTTGAGTGTGGATTCTGACATTCGAGTTCAGATAGGTACTGAGCCTGGCTCCCTGAGACAGGCCCTGGGGTATGTACACCGAGGACTCCAGTCTCCCTCTTGTAGGAGGCCTTTGTACCCGCCCAGCCAGCTCTCAGAGAGTTAGAGCTGCTTCTCTGGTCTGGGCTCGAGGCTGGTCCGTAGGCAGTGCCCTGGCCCGGATCTGGGTGAGGAGCACGGGGAACTCACAGCAACACCCTCTAGGGGCCTGTGCCGGCCTCAAGGGACCCCAACCCAGCCAGTTCCCTGGGGGCTGTAGGCCCGTGACATCCGCCCCACAGTTTTCAGACACCGACAACATTCTGACCAACAACCGGACGCTGCGGTTTCTGACAGAGCAGGGGCTGCCCGTGGCGGCCCCGATGCTGGACTCACAGACCTACTACTCCAACTTCTGGTGTGGGATCACCCCTCAGGTGAGCCAGCCTGGGCCCAGGGAGCTGGGCTTCTGGGCAGAGGGGCTGCGCAGCAGGGACCGTGCGGCCCAGAGTGTCCCCCGTCCCCAGGGCTACTACCGCCGCACAGCCGACTACTTCCCCACCAAGAACCGCCAGCGCCAGGGCTGCTTCCGGGTCCCCATGGTCCATTCCACCTTCCTGGTATCACTACGGGCTGAGGGGACAGCCCAGCTCGCCTTCTACCCCCCTCACCCCAACTACACATGGCCCTTCGATGACATCATTGTCTTCGCCTACGCCTGTGAGGCTGCTGGTGAGGACCTGTGCCCCTTGTGTGTCCCTCAAGGACTCAGGGCCTCTGCACGTGCTCTTTCCTCTGCTCAGCACACTCTTCCCACTCTGCATTCCATCTTGTGAGCTCATGTTTGTCTCCTGCTGGGAGAGGTGCCTTCATGCATTCCTTCGCTAGGCAAGCATTTGTGGATCAGCTACCCCATGCCAGTCCCTGCCCTCCTGGGTCCTCCATTCCAGTCACTCAAGGGGCAAAACAAAACACGAACAAAATAAAAGTTCAAAAAATAAAAAGGGGTGGGGGTGTTGCTCAGTACAAAGGCTCTGGGTCCAATCTCGTCATGCCAAAAAACAAAATAAAACAAAAAACAATCAAACACACCGCTCAGAGCCGGTGTGGTGGGACACACCTGTAATCCCAGCATTTGGGGAGGCTGAGGCAGGAGGATCACTGTGAGTTCGAGACCAGCCTGGGCTACATAGTGAGTTCCAGGTCAGTCTCTACTACACAGTGAGACCCTGTCTCAAACAAACAAACAAACAAACAAAAACACACTGCTCAGGCTGCAGGGTAGCTCAGTGGTGAACACTTGTCCAGTGTGTGCAAGGCCCATAGGATCCGTCCCCAGCGCCACAAAAAAAGGAAAGAAAAAGACTGGCTCAGCACCTGCCCCCGAGGGTAGTTCCAGCGCAGTTGACAGATACCAAAGGGAAAGGACACAGGCCAGCAGGGGGCAACAGTGAGGAGGGTATGGTGGGGATGCAAGGGAAGCGCAAGAGGGGGCTCAGGGGTGGGCAGCATCTCCCCCACCCGCCACGCACAGCACAGCCCTAGCCCCTGCCGGAGCCCACATAGCTCTGCCAAGCAGCCGGCTTCCTCAGCCGTCCTTTGTGAGCCTAAAGTCCTTTGTCCCTCCAGCCCACAGATGGGCCCACATCCCGGAGGAGTCTCAGGGTACAGGGTCCACCGAGCCCTGGCGTGCTGGTTCTCATCTGGCCTTTCTCTGCAGGCGTCTCGGTCTACGTGTGCAACCAGCACCAGTTCGGGTACATGAATGTGGCCGTGGGTCCCCACGAGGGGCTGGAGGAGGAGAAGGTCAACTTCATCCACCTGGTCCTACAATCGCTAGGTGAGGGCAGGGGGCCTGTTCCGTGCACCTGCTGGGTGGCTCCCTGCCTTCCTTCACTGCCTTTCTTCCCCACTTCTTTAGTTTTTGGAGGATCTCACTATGTAGCCCAGGCTGGCCTGGAACTTTGCGGTGATCCTTCTGCCTCAGCCTCCTGAGTGCTGGGATGACAGATGTACACCACAACACCCAGTTGGTTCCCTTTTCCTAGGCCCCAGCATTTTGCTGAGGGGACAGGAAGAGGGGGGCTGGGACTCATGATGGGGCGCCTCCCTTTGCAGTGGATGGGCCCCCCATGCAGGCCTCCACTCATGTGTCTTGGCCCCCAAAGAGGCCCAGCAGGCTGGGGTTTGATGAGGTGAGTGCCCATCTGTGGGAATGGTTGGGGGCACGGGCGCTTCCCTTCCCTGCCCTCACCCAGCCTCTGCCCCCCAGGTCTTTGTCATCAGCCTGGCCCGCAGGCCTGTCCGTCGCCAGCGAATGCTCAGCTCACTCTGGGAGATGGAGATCTCCGGACGCGTGGTGGATGCTGTGGACGGCCGGTAAGACTTCCTGGGTCTGGCCGTGGGGCGCTGTGGTCCCTCCCGGAGCTCCAGAATGGGCAGAGCAGAGGTCATCCAAACAGGGCCCAAGTGAGCTGGGCGGGGTGGCACCCATAAACCCAGCACCAGGGAGGCCGAGGCAGGAAGACCTCTGCAAGTTGGAAGTGGCCTGGGCTACCTAGTGAAACCTTGTCGCAAAAACCAAACCAAACAGAGCCTGCTCAGGAACTTCTGGGCGGACAGACACAGGAAGAGACACCCTCCCTCAACCCACCAGAGGGAGATGGTCCAGTGGTCGAGGCTTGGGAGCCAGGGGGGGTCATTCATCAGCCACGTGATCCCACCTCTTGGTGCCATTGTGGAAATGGCTGATAACCCGGCCCGCTTCTCATGGTTCCGCACCCGACACCAGGAAGTCTCAAGGCTGGGTGTCCTCAGAGTTCTCCTCCTCCACCCTGGCCTCAGTCTGATGGTGGAGTGCGGCCCAGCTGCGTTCTCTCAGGACTGAGCGCTGGCCTCCGCGGTCCTGTGGACCATGTGCCTGCCACTGTTCACATTAAACCAAAACACCCCTCACCCACCTGCTTTCAAACTCAGGACCTTGTGCTTGCAAGGCAAGCAATGGCACCATTGAGCTAAATCCCCGGCCCTTTTTAATTTTGATTTTATTTTTTTATTTTGAGACAAGGTCTTGCTAAGTTGCCCAGGCTGGGCTAGAACTTTCGATCCTCCTGCCTCAGCCTCCCAGAGTGCTAAGATCATAAATGTGCACCACCACTGCCAGCTTCCCAGCTCTTTGGACTTGGGGATGATATATATCCATGTTGTGCTTGGGACTTCTGCTCAAGAAGGCTCCACCATGTCACCCACGTCCATCCTGGGCACCCCTGTTAGCCCTGCCCCACCTTGCCTTTCCCCAAGGCTAGACTCAGGTGCGACTGTCTCGGACACGTTCAGGTCAGGCCTCCTGGATGGGTCTCCCCGGTCACCATTGTCCCTGTGGCCCACAGGGTGCTCAACAGCAGCGTCCTCAGGAGACTGGGCGTGGATCTGCTCCCTGGCTACCAGGACCCCTACTCGGGACGCACGCTGACCAAGGGCGAGGTGGGCTGCTTCCTCAGCCACTACTCCATCTGGGAGGAGGTGAGGACGCCCCTCAGGGGCAGAGGCTACTGTTCGGGAGCTGACCTGACGCGGGGAGTCCTAGGGTCTGGAGCGCCAGGGAGGGAATGGCCCTCGGAGGGCACGGAGCTAAACTGTGTGCACTTACGCCTGCGTCACTGCACTGAAGCCCAGGACCTCACACATGCTAGGCAGGTACTCTACCAGGGAGCTGTAACCCCGGTCCTTTTTTTTTTGGTACCGGGGATCAAACTCAGGTCCTTGTGCTCCCAGTCCTTTTAAACTTTTGAGATAGGGTCTCACTGAGGTGCCCAGACTGGCCTCTATCTCACAATCCTCCTGCCATAGCCTCCTAAATAGCTGGATTATAGACAAGAGCCACCATACCTGGCTTTACTCCTTGTTTTTATTTTCTCCTTGTCTTTATTCTTATTTTATATGTGCACTTGTGTAAGCTTATGTTTGTACTTCTTTTTTATTGTCTCCAAAATTGAAGGATGACTTAGTTCACCATTTATTGAACAGATTTCATGTTCTTTTCACACCTGTAATTCCAGCACTAGGGAGGCTGAGGCAGGAGGATCACTGTGAGTTCGAGACCAGTCTGGGCTACACAGTGAGTTCAAGGACCCCATGAACTATATAGCAAGACTGTCTCAAAAATAAAACAAAACAAAAGGGCCAGAGGTATAGCTCAGTGGTACCATGCCTGCCTGGCAAGCACAAAGTCCTGAGTTCAATCCCCCTTACCAGAAAAAACAAAAACATAAAAACTATTTTTCCAGGCTGGGAATTTCGTTCAGTGGCACCATGCCTGCCTCAAAAGCTCAAAGTCCTGAGTTTGATCCCCAGTACCAAAAAAAAAAAAAGTTTTTTCCTTGTGATGGGGGCGGGGGGCTAATCCTGAAGCTCAGCAGGAAGGTTTAATTCCCAGCCCTGCCACTTCCTGCCACATGCCGTGGATGCGCCACTGTTGGTTCCCCGTGTCACATCTCCTGCCCTGGCATCGTCGCCCTCAGTGCATGGAGCAGGACAGTGGCGGCCACCGTGATCCTCTGGAGAGCTGAGCTGGGGACTGCAGGGACTGGGCAGTGGGAGGCCAGGTGCTGCACGGTGTGGCCAGGGCCAGGCACAAGGAGCGTCGCTGAGGCCAGGCCGAGGGAGGCCAGCAGTAGACAGGTGGGAAGGGGCAGAGCAGATGCACAGAGCCATCTCTCACCCTGTCGGGAACCACAGGTGGCGGCCAGGGGCCTGGCCCAGGTCCTGGTGTTCGAAGACGACGTCCGCTTTGAGAGGAACTTCCGGCGGCGGCTGGAGCGGCTGATGGAGGAGGTGGCCGGGCAGAAGCTGGAATGGGACTTGATGTAGGCCGGCCGCACCAGGGCAGGGGAGGGGCAGAGGGTTGGAGGAGCCACACTGACTGGGGCCCTCGGTGCCACTTGCAGCTACCTGGGCCGGAAGCAGGTGAGCCCGGAGGAGGAGGTGGCCGTGGAGGGGCTGCCGGGCCTGGTGGTGGCCGGGTACTCGTACTGGACCCTGGCCTATGCCCTGAGCCTGGCGGGCGCCCGGAAGTTGCTGGCCTCGCAGCCCCTGCGCCGCATGGTGCCTGTGGACGAGTTCCTGCCCATCATGTTCGACAGGCACCCCAAGTGAGCCTGGGGCAGGGCGCGCCTCGGGGGTCCCCTCCCTGGGCGGGCCACCAAGTAGCCTCCAGTCAGACTTGGCAAGGAGCGGGGAAGGCTGTGCCGCCTGTGTGGCTTTTATTTTAATATTTATTTCTTTCTCTCTGGGGTTTTGTTTTGAGACAAGGTCTCACTGTGTAGCCCAGGCTGGCCTCGAACTCACGGCGATCTTCCTGCCTCAGACTCCCGAGTGCTGAGGTCACAGTCATGCACCACCACACCTGGCTGCATGGTCTAATTGGATATCTTCCTTGTTCTGAGCCTCAGTTTCCCAGAAGTCCCACTTGTCGGGGATTTTGTGAGGAGCCCTGGGGTCTGAGCAGAGGGCTCACCCGCACTCCCACCCCGCCCTCCCCGCAGTGAGCAGTACAAGGCGCACTTCTGGCCGCGGGACCTGAAGGCCTTCTCGGCCCAGCCGCTGCTCGCCGCCCCCACCCACTACGCAGGGGACAGCGAGTGGCTCAGTGACACAGAAACGTCCTGTCCTTGGGACGACGACAGTGGCCGCCTCATCAGCTGGACTGGCTCTCACAAGACCATGCGCGACCCCCGCCTGGACCTGGCAGGAAGCAGCGGGCACAGCCTCCACCCCCACCCCCAGGACGAGCTCTAGGTGCGGTGGCAGGGAAGGGATGGCAGCCCCCGGCCTGGGCCGCCCCGCTGCACACAGGGCTACGGTGGGTCTGCTTGTGGCCCTGTGGCCTCTGCCTGGTCCCTGGCCTTGGCTGTCTCCCGTCTCCCCATCCCTGGCTTTGCTCTGTCTGAGTCTGGTCCTCTTTCTCTCTGCCCATCCAGGTGCCCATTTCAGCAAGTCCCCTCGCTGGGCATCTGCGCGTCCTGCCCCTCAGGGTCCCCGTCCCACCAGGCCGAGAGATGGCTCCGGAGGAGACCTGACCGCGCTGGCTGGCAGGAGCCAGGAAGCCAGCAGAGGACTGGCTGGCACCTCAGGCCCCATCTTGGGAGAAACCACTCAGAGACGCAGCCGGGTCCCTTGGGGAAGTCACATGGCCGAGCCGGGCCTCAGCCTTGATGCAGGCTGGGCACAGCGGGCCCTGCCCTCCCTGGCCACACGGAAGCCGGGTCCCTGCCCTCTACCTCCCCGCACCCTGTCCTGAGGCAAGGCTGTCTCTCGGGACCTCCTCCAGCCAGTGGGAAGGAACTGCAGGGAGTGGGCGGCACACAGCGGCCCTCAATAAAGGCCTGCAGCGTTTGCACTTAACTTTGTAACCGCGGTTCCTAGGCCTCTGCTTCTCCGCTGGCCTGTCCTGGCACCTTGCCCACCTGGCGTGGCACTTGGATCAGAGGGACAGGGCCAGCCGAGGGGGAGTCAGACCCGCCCGGCCGCACCTCCGCGCAGGGGGACCCGGGGTGGGGGGATTTGTTGCCCTGGGCCAGGGTAGGATTTAGGGGAGTGGCGGGGACCGCCCGTAGTGGGGCACTTGGGAGACGCAGGGTTCCCCTCGTGGCCCTAACCGGTGGCTCCGCCAGAGGGCGCCAAACGACAGAGCCTGGCC